GACTACTATACGATCATTGGTTGACTTGATGTGATGTAATTTCTGTGTCAATAAAAAGTGGATCACGTCCGCAAAACGTTGGAGCTTCTTTGTACCCAACTGCTGTTAAGTTGGACATTGAACCTCTCCCGTTTGCGCAAAGTGTATCATTTAAACTTTACCGGTCTCTGATTGTCTTTGTTTAAATGTCTGGTTGGGTTGTTGTTTTTCAAAGTCTCAGGTAAAAAATACCGGACAGAGGTAAAAACCAAGCTAGAATGACAAAAGTATTCACTGTGGTTTCTGTCATGATAGTTGGATATCTGAAAGGTTTACAAATTGACACATATCTGTCAAACGCCATGACTGCTAACAATAAGAACTCTGTACCACCTACAGAGTAAAATATAAAAAAACTGGAAGAGACAAGCTGAATATGACATGATCTGTTTCTCAGATAAAAAGTCAATCAGTAGCTTTGGGTAAATGGCGGTGCTATGAAGAATTGAGTTAAATAACAGAGCTGCTATAAAGATGTACATGGGCTCATGGAGGCTTTTTTGACAAGGTCAGATACACAATTACAGAATTACTACAGATTATTAAAATATATACAGTAAACATTATAGCAAAATATAAAAACCTGTATTTATTCATTTCCACAAATCCTAACAGAGTTATATAAGAAATATTTACCTCATTATCCATGACGGTTTTTCCGAACTACTGCAATTGTTCATTTAATAAACTTTTGGAACTACATTTAGTCTCCAGTCTTCACTTCATAACACAGTACATTTGGTGTTCTATCAACTGCAGAATGTACAAATGGGATAATTTGTATTATATTAGACTTGTCCCTCCTCCAGACATCTCGGGAGAATTACTGTTTCCGTTACAAAAATTGACCACTACACAACGATATTACACACTAAGCAGTGGCAGCTGGTCAAAAGAGGGTGCTACAGCGCCACCCCAAAACTATTTTTTGGGACAGAAAAAATATAAAAATGAAATAACAAAATAAAATGTTTAGTAGAAATATCATATATGTTTTAGATGTGTAAGATACATTTCATGTAGTTATTAATGGATAAACTTTAATTTTTACTCATGAATGATGTATTGAGTCACTTCTGGTTCATGCCAGGATGCAGAAATCTTTATCATTGAAGTCTAACGTTAACTCCTGGGCATGCGCAATAGATCCTCGATGCAAAAGAATAGGGAGTCTCTGATTACAGTTGACCTGTGCCCAGAATGTGGTTTGCATACCAGTAGTGGATTGACGCCATGTTCGGTAGGGCAGGTCGGAGCAAACCTAGTAAGCTAATGGAGGAGCTAACAACTCAGCAAAGTCTCTTATAACACAACCTTTTTGATGAGAACACACCAAGAGAAGCTTAAAGTAAAATAACCTGGACCTGATCAGATGGACATGAAGAGCAACAGACCAAAGACAGAGAGAGTTACACTCCATCTTTTTACATGACCTGGATTAGAAACAAGGCTAATCTAACTGCTAGTAATGCGGCTAATGCTCTGTTTAGCTTACTGCCTTGTTTTTCAAGCATCAGGATACCCATCATTTAGTTTGTTCTTAGCTGGGCTGTGCTTAAAACATCTTTTTTTCATCACTTCTTGGTTTTATTTGTGTATTTCGGGATCTTGTAGCTCTCGCTAACATTTGCTTAGCATCATGGCTACTTCTCCGAGTTCGGCCTTCCTCACTTGCTCTGGGTGTGAGATGTTTAGTTCCTCCCCTGCCTCCTTTAGCGATGGCAACATTTGTATTAAATGTGGACTTATGGCAGATTTAGAGGTGAGGCTGTCTGAATTAGAAGCTCGGCTTCACATTGTTGAGAAGCCAACAGCTAGCAAGGCTAGCATGGAGCCGCCGAGAGAGGCCTCTCCTGTAAGCGGTCCCTGGGTGGATCCCGTGAGACCACCACCCCGAGCTAGCTGGGTGACGGCTCAGATAAAGCACAGTGCTACAGCTAAACCTACCGATCGTCAGCCCATACATGTTTCAAATCATTTCTCCCCACTCAGTGGCACTCTGGCTGAGAAACAGACGCTGGTTATTGGCAGCTCCATAGTCTGAAACATGGATTTAGTGACTCCAACAACCATAAAACATGCATTCCAGGAGCCAGAGCCAGAGCAGGTGACATAGAATCCTACTTGAAACTACTGGCTAATGTTAATGCTAGGTACAGTAAGGTCGTGATTCACATCGATGGTAATGACACTAGGTTACATCAATCGGAGGTTACTAAAACTAACGTTGCTTCAGTCTGTAACTTTGCAAAGACGATGTTGGACTCGGTAGTATTCTCTGGCTTCTGTTACGATTCTGTCACTCTCTGCCCTGATCTAGTCCCAATTAAGTTTTATTATATCATCTCATGTCCCAGTTTACTCTCTTAGTCTTGTTCCCAGCCTTTCAGTTCACATCCAGCTCCTACTCATTGCTCTCGCCCCTCCCGTCACAGAAACACTAACCAAGCTCATTCCACTCACCTGTCTGCAGCAGTATTTAACCCAGTCTCATTCTCCAGCTCCTTGCCAGATTATCATCAGCCTTGCCTATGATTCTCCAGCGTTCTAGTCCCTTGTCCTGCTCTTGCCTCGTGTCCCTGACCTTGCTCATGTCTCCTGGTTCCATGTCTCCTGCCTCAGCCCCTTTCGGATCCCTCCTGCCATCTGCTCTCATGGTAATGACCTTTTTTCTGTCCTTTGGATTTTTGTCTCTCGCCTGCTCCCTGAACGGCACCACGCCACATCGGACCTCTCGGATCTTGACCTCGGAACGCACCTCTGGATCATCGGCTCAGTCACCTCCCACAAACTTGGTAACATCCTCTGACCACCTGTGCATGACCCTTGCCCTGTTTCTGACCACGAGTAAGTCCAGCGATCCATTCGCTCCTCCCAACAACACAGCCCGGAACCAAGACACTTCTGCTGTTGTTTCTACCCGGTCGTCATCTCAGCAGGAAAGGTTGGTGATCTTGTTCCTCACAAATTATATCGTGTTCCTAACTCAACCTAACCTTGAGATTCTGTGTCCAGAACTGACAAACCAGGATTCCGGTCCCAGCCTTACAGCCAAAATTTCTAACAATAAACTTGTTAAAACTTTGACGTTGTTGGGCATTCATTCAGAGCTCAAAACACGAACCTTAACAGATAATCTGGCCACAATGAGCTCTGAACTGAACGCAACCTGGAAGGCAAGTATTGAGGGAGCTTTAAATGATTTGGGTGATAGTATTTGTAACATTAATACAACTTTAAGCAACTTTTCATTGTCTGGTAATGTTACATCTCCCACGGCTGGAGGACCAGCAGCATCACTTAAAGTTTCAAGACCTCAGCCTTCTCCATGTATGAAG